GGCTCGAAGTTTGAGAATTTCTGTAAACGTGCTTGTGTTTTACTAATCTTATTACCTTATTCACTCCTCTTCTTTATTTGTTTTCTGTTCTTTACACAGGACGAAGGTTTGAGAATGAGAAAGATGCCCCGCTCAGACCACATGACACCAAACTCGACCAGCCTGCTCGGTCGGGAAGCCAGCGCCGCCTCCCTACCATCCCTCCTCGTTGTCATAGCAGCCATCTTCATCGGATTTTTCATAGGGAAGTTCATCTTGTAGACTGGGAGAAGCATGCCAGCCGTATCCCACGCCTCGGCTCTGGAATAAAAAAAGAAAAAAAAAAAAGAAAAAAGAAAAGGAAAAAGGCCTGGAAAAACCGAGAAGTCTTTCTGTTGACTTTTGCCATATCATTGGTAGTGTGGCCTACAGTGAACACATCTGTACAGTATCATTTGAAGGCGCCGCCTTTTTACAATCTCACACAGTTAGTATGCACAGAGTTGAGTGAGGAAAGGCGACAAAAAGCGATTGCCCCCCCCCCTTCTTCTTTGTTTTTTTTTTTTTCTTTTTCTTTCTTCTTTGCCTGTATAATCCAGATATCCAGTGTGGTGGGACAATGAAAGTTGTATACTATCAGTCAACATGGAAGATGCACCTAGAGTTAACCATGGGCAAGAAGCGCTCAAAAGAATAATATCTCTCTCTTCCCCCCTCTCCCTCTACTTCTGTTTTTAATAGGAATTGAATGGAATGTTAGGTGTCTTGTAAATGTCGTTTTAAATCCTTTTAAACAAAAAAGGAAAGAACTTCCATCATAAAGACGTTGCTACCTGTTGCTGGATTGCCTCTGAAGTAAAATCTGTTCGGTTTGTAATTTCTTCTACTTGTGTTGGAATGTTCAGGCCCAGCTGGGGATATAGGTGCCTCCTTCTTGTACATTTGTCTTGATCTCACAATACAAATACAGACTTATTATTATTATTAATTATTATTGTTATTATTATTATTATTATTATTATTATTATTGCTACTACTATACAAATCGTATATCCTTCTGAGGCAGTTATTGACTGAAATAACGTTTCCATTCTTAAAGTCCTGTCAAAGGTATTCAACATTGAAAAATAAAAATGAAAAATGTGGTTTTCATAGCTGTCTTTTCCTGCTTGTTGTTGCTGCCAATGTTTTACTTTGTGTTTGTACAATGCAGTACAGTATATGAATTACCCTGCGTTTCTAAATTTGCTTTATATTTCTGCTTCATAGGTATTGCAGTGGATATAGATGTATATATTTTGATGTAACCTAGATTGGTCAGATGAATCAAGATGGAAGTTTTGGGCTGTACTTGAGTTAGCGAGGAAGGGATTGTTGTACATTTCTTGTGGTTTGAGCTCCCACAAACTAGGCGCTGTCACTGTCGGTTACGCCAAGGTAATTTTATGCATTTCTGGTACATTATAGTATTCCAGATGAGGGGGGAACATCTGTGGTAAGCTTGTTCCTAAATTTTTTATTTTTATTTTTTTGTTAGCCTGATTGGTAAAATGAGAAAGCGTTCTTTACAAGATGCTGATTATTTTACTTTTTTCTTTTTGCACTGAGTTGAAACCTACAATTATTCTGTTAAAGCACAAAGTGACGTGATTCACTGCAGCATTGGTAAAAGACCACTTTTTTTTTTCTCTCTCTCTCTCCCCCCCTCTCTCTGTTTGGCACTAGAGAGTTGGAGAATTGCATGTTAGACTTTGGCTGTGTGACTATAGTGTTAAGAGACGAGCTGAAAGTTGCATAATTGTATGCTTGAAGTACAGAGTGGCCCCTTTGAGTGAGACGTTGCTAGTACTGTTTTTGTCTTCATTCTTTATGGTATATATCTCAGAGATTCTCAGACATATTGAATGATTGTATTGCATAGTTGCTGCTCATTTGTCAGCTGCACATCCATGATGTGAATCTCGTTCCACCACATCCCAAAGGTCACTGTTGTTATTGTTACTGTGGTTAAGGTTGCCTTCATTATCAGCTTGAAGCAGTCTGGTCATTCTCCTCTGACACCAACAAGCCATTTTTACCCAGAGAACTGCCGCTCGCTGTACGTTTTTTGTCTTTTCAGACCATTATCTGTAAACTCTAGAAATGGCTGTGTGGGAAAACCCAGCGACTATGTTCAAAGTTGTAAATCAACTTTCTTCTCCAATCTGGTGCTCTGTTTGAAGTCCAGCAGGTGTTCTTACCCATGCGTTGCTGCTATATGATTGGCTGTAGTAATGACCAATTATACCACCAATTATTTTAAGCTGTGGGTAGCTTCTCCCATCAGCAGCACAATCAACCATATTTATGATTTATCCTGTCAGGTTTGAGCATAGTTAATTTGTTGCTATAACAATACGAACATGTACTGGCTTAAAATGAGCGGTGAGTTGGAACACTCGATATTTGGCTCACAGATGGAAGATGTGGCTAATGTAAGTAATATGTCACGGTGTAATATCACTCGAAATGCGTGTATATGTTTCTATTCAATAGAGCTAAGGTTTTTGTCATCACCTGAATGGATTTTTTTTTTTTTTTTCTCCTCATATTTTTTGGGAGTTAAATCCTTTGTTTTTTCCACCTTACTCATTGCGCACAACAGAAGACCTTATCAAATGTGAGTAAATGCTGCTGCTTCACAGTAACTTTGTACTGAGAATATGTTACAGACCTGATCATATATGTATATGTCTGAGGATAAATTTCGCCTCCATCTGCTCCTTTAAAGCTGCTCAGTGGACAGTTTGTCCTTGGCAACTTCCATGTAAGACTCCCTCGTACATCCACTTTGCAAACCCATAAAACTGGGGCTTTTTAAATGCCCTGCTGGGAACCATAAAGTGTAACAAAGGGATTAACAAAAATATGTTCCCTGTTAAATGTTCAGTAAGCTACAATATACAAAATCTGGCTGTAAGAGCAGTAATGAACACGAAGTATCAAACCTTTGTAATCTCATACATGTATCCAGTTATTGAGACATTTCTTGGAGCCCGTTAAAGCTTCTTTAGCCTGGGAACACTGAGGAAAAACGATGCACTATTAATGATGACACACAAAACCTCAAGCTTAAATTTGACAGAAGCATGCTGGGAAACTCCAATCCTTGTCCATGACCGAGAGGGAGATCGAAATGACAACATATGATAATGATGAGTGAAACCCCATGAGCTTAATTAAGGCTGAAATAAAGATCCCACTGGAGGAGTGGAGTTTTGATACTGAGCCACACATGAGGACTTTAATCCCATTAAGGTATTTAGAATTTATTCCACCCTCAGGTTCAAAAACCACCTGAAAGAAGCAACAAACACTAATCCCTTTGTTTCTTATATTACAGAGGCCTTTGCTAGAAGACCACAGTTACAACTCCACGTTGTTGACGGGTAACAGCTGACTACACAGTGATGCATCATCACAGTCGATCCTTTGTGATTGCACAAACATCTTATTTGTGTTAGACGCAGCGAGAGTCTTCGGTAATATCACTGAAGTGATTATATACAGTAGATTTTCTTCTTCACACAGCCACAGTGGAAACCAAACAATTAAGATGTGACTAAAGGGAAAATTCTCAGCTTTAATTCAAAAAGCTTGAAGAAATGAGACATTTTTATACACAGTCCCATTTTTAGAGGCTCAAAATTAGACAAACAATTTTTAATATAAGGTTAGTTTCTAACACTTAGATAAAAATCTTTTGGAGTCGATGGCTGCCTAAAGTCTAGAACTCATATATAGCTAAATGCTGATTCCTCTCTTGGCGTGCTCTGCTAGGTCTTTACTGCAACATAACTTCAGCTGCTGCTTATTTTGGATTTCTCTGCCCTCATTATGCACGGTTAGGTTGAGATCAGGTGACGGAGTTGGAGCCTCACAAATATCACATTTCTTTACCTTAAAAAAAAAAGGAAAAAACTTTTGGAGTGATCAGATCAACAATGTTGTGCGTTCCTGCCAGCACTGCAAAACCAACCCAAGACTTTTTAAGCCTAGCAATGGCCTCTTTCAGTGCAGTGTCTCCGTGAGTTCTTGTGAACTAATACCAAATGCAAGTTCTGCACTTGTAATGGAATAATAGGGAAACAAGCATCACCTGGGCAGCAAATTGTCCAATTACTTTGCAACTTTACTTTTCATTAAACCTCAGAGCTGAAGTCAGCACTTCAAGCACACATTAGTTTGATTTTAAAAATCCACTGAGTTGGTTTACAAAACATTTTAATTGTCCAAAATGTCTGGGTCTAACTGTAGTTATTTTTGGTTGTAGAGATGTAAAGTTTCCGCTCTTCACCGATGAGGTATCATAAGCGTGAACAGTTAATTATGATCAAATTGAAACACATCCAAGTGCTTGTTGATTTCTCACTGAAAAATAGCTTAAGTTTCCAGAATGGATGGAGTGAAACTGAAACTAGCATACTGAAGTATTACCCTTTAAAAAGAGAAAAACAGTTTTTAGTGACTGCAAATCATAGAATTGTCATTTTATTACACAAGTAGATATCCCAAAATTTAAGGGTTTAATTTTATTTAAAGAAAGGATAATCCTCTTAACCTTGACAAATGAGTTCCTATTTATGCTTGAAAAGGGAGTAACGTAGTAAAAATCATTCCTGTAGTACTAGCCCAGAAGCTGTAGTTCAATAAATCCATGGATTTCCAGTTCCATTAATAGCAATTATAAATGTAAAATTACTGGCAGTATAATTTCAGAGCTAACATTAAATACATTGCAGGGATGTTTTAGGTTGTTTTTCCAAGAGAAAATTTTTCCAGATGTCCAGTTTCCATCTCATATGGATTTCACTGCTTTCATATTTGTTTTAAATAGAAGTGGACCTCTGAATGTTTATTAAATGTTACAGCCATTTGATCACAGGTTTTATAGACTCAAGAAAGTAACTGGCAGAAGATCTAAACCTGCCTTTAGATCTTTGCGTATAGTCAGAGAGAAATAAAACAGTCATCGTTCACAGTTGCAATAGATAAAGAACCAAAATATCCACTTTATTAGTAGCATAGAGAATGACTTGGACAAACTAATGTAGCTCTCACTTGAAGTGATCTCCTGCATTCTCGGATGTGGTAGTTTGTCACTTTTCCAGGTGTCGTTCCCACTGTGAGCATTGCGTAACTACAAAACCGCCTCGTTGGACTCAAGGTCGAGTGTCTGCCAGCGAGGAAGCAGCTGTCTGAGCGGCGAGGGAACAAAAACATCTCTCTAGATTACATGGAGGGTAACTGTTGGCACATGAAAGAGTTTTATTTCATTCAAGACAAGAGCTTGGTCATTATTTGGAATAGGAGGCCAATACCTGCTGCCGACTTCACCATACTTCAAGGCTATATGTCGAAGAAAAGAAAAAAAAAGATTCTAACACGTTAAGTACATTTTATTGTAAACGGTGACGAGCGTGTCCTCCGATGATAGATCATATAAAACAGTCGCAGGTAAATAGATCATATATAACATATTCTCATGTCTGTGTGTGGATATAAAGACATCTTTGTATGTTTGTATAAACACAGGTCAGTCTTTGGTTCCACTCTAAAGTGCAGTTTCTGTGGTGCAGCAGTCTCAAGTCTTTGGTAAAGAGTTCAGAGGTTTAGGGACCAGTCTTTATGCTCCTTTATTCATTAAAACAACAAATGTAAACTTAGTCTACCAATGCAGTCTCTGTGACCCCCTCTGGGTCTCTGATGAATCCACACTCCTCTTTTGTGTCTTTGTGGATAAAATACTCAACCTGCTCTCTAGCTTTGCCAGAAAAGAAGTTGAGCAGTAACGAACGCGGCGATGGCCAGCGCGGCGCGTTTCTGGCCGCCTCTGTGCCATCCTGTGCAGCCGTTGGGGTGCAACGGAGGCCTCTCTGTGTCATCCCTTTGGCTGGAATCTGATGGCTGGCTGCTGGATGAACACTGGACCAGGGGCATCTGGTAGGACGTGGCTCGCTTCTCCGGGCGGTCCGGACTGGAGCCGTCGCTGGGGCGCTGGCCGTTGTAGAGCAGGTAGCGTCCATGAGCGTCCTGCTCCATGCGGAACAGCTCATACTCTGTGTGCGGCAGCCGGATGCCCAACGCCACGCAGCCATTGGTTAGGGTGACATCCTGCTCCACACCGACCTGCCAAGACCCCTGCACTCCACACTCATTACCACTGAAGACATTGAGGAGGGATGTGGTGGCCACGTCCATGGGAGTCACTCTCATGTGGTTCACTAAAAGAAGATAACATAAGACCTTTAAAGCGATCAATTATGCTTATTTTAAGCCTTTTTATTATTATTACTACTAGAGTAGCTTTGCATGATTCACAGCTCAAAACACACAAATTTATCTCGCACTGAGTGGGTGAGGAAGCCCCAAATTTCATCCTTTTTCAAAATGTTTTATTTCCCCTCTTTTTAAGCCAACTTTGCTCAAGCAGGTCTGATCAGCAGGTGGTGGAGCTGCTGTTCCCGCAGCCAGAGCTGTGAGCCTGATATGAGCAAATGATGGATATCAGCTCTCACTGACATCACACACAGCCAAATTCTCTAAAAGTTTTAGAGCAGTCTGAAGCCCTGAACTTTTGTCTCTCAAGTATTACTTGTTGAAACCCTGGCTGGCCATTTCTTGTTTTCACTGTGATCTAGAGCAGGGGTCCCCAACTCCAGGCCTCGAGGGCCGGTGTCCTGCAGGTTTTAGATCTCACTCTGGGTTTACACACCTGAATCACATGATTAGTTCATTACCAGGCCTTTGGAGAACTGCAAGACATGTTGAGGAGGTAATTTAGCCATTTTGAATCAGCTGTGTTGGATCACGGACACCGCCCCTCGAGGTCTGGAGTTGGGGACCCCTGCCATAGAATAACATTGTTGCGCTCTGTGCACAGTCAGTATACAAGATGGGCATCGCTTTTTAGAAAGTCAAGTCTACTAAAACTCCATATCTTTGAGGGTGCCCCATCTTTAAGAAATGTGGGAAGGAAACAAAGAACTACTTTCTTTATCTAAAAAGTGACGCTAACACAGAAGGGACACACTCACTCATCATATCAGGTTTAAACAAAAAACAACAAGATCTTGAGGCCTCAAAGTGAGACTTCACAAACCAATGGTCGATATTAGGGTAGGTACATCCATCTTTCATACAGCCTGTCTCCAAATGGTAGATAGACAGACTTGAGTTTTAAATGACGTGTCATTGAACCAGTTTATTCTGCTTGTTGAAACAACCTTGGTCTTATTTCTGTCCTTCCCTTCTATCGATTGTGAAAACACTGTCTGCGAAGTCAATAGGGATCACATGGATCATAACACGACTACCAGTTAATTAAACAAGCAACAGTTTAACCTTTTTATTCAAACACTTCTCAAAGTGAGCACGCCAAAAATGTTAGGAACTGGTAGAGGAACTGTGTTTAAACTACACTGTATCAAAATCAGGGTTTGGTAGTGTTTTTAAGAATCAGCATTACGGTAAAAATGCAATTACACCACTAAGTTACCTTTGAAGACAAAATCTGTTCCTCCCACGACGCGGGTTGAGTGAAGCCCTCGACTGTAGCGGCCACGGGCGTAGATGGTGAAGGTGGGGTGTTTACAGATGGGGTCCGAGTAGTGGTAGTAATGGCCCTCCCAGGTGTGGTTGTTATCGTGGAAGATGAAGTGGCGGGTCAGGAAGAGGACCTCCGGGCGAACTTCGCAGCGCTGGCTCACCCACTGACCGTACAACCCGACGGTCAGGTCGGCCCGCGGCGGCAGGATGGGAGGGTGGAACTCGTCCGAGCGGTAGATGATACGACAGGCGATGCAGCTGTGGTCGTGGTTCTAAAAAAAGAAAAAAAAAATAATTTAAGTCATAGCACTAAAGATTATTGAGATTTTTCACATGACTAAAGTCATATTTACTGAAAACATACAAACTAGGACTATAAATCTCAGTCAGTCAAGCTTTAGTCACAATTGTAGTTTTGGCTTCCCACAGTTAAATGAGCATAATCGAGTGATATAGAAGATACATGCTCTGCTATTTGGAATGAAAATAAATAAAACTTCCTAAATCACTGCCTGATGACGTGCCTTGGTGTGTCATCACAGCTGTTTCCTGCAGAGCTCAGCTGGATGTTTCTTGGACTAGTCTGGATGAGTAACAATGCATTCAAAGACAGATATACAACAGAAATCAGATGTCTGGCAAGGCGGAACGTGAAGAGCTTGTCCCTCAAAGAGGATCATGATTCTTTTTTTGGAAAAACTCGTGCAAAAAAAAAAAAAAAGTTATGTGTGTCTACACTGCAAAAGAACAATTTATTTAACTGCCTGAAGATACCACAAACTGCAATAACGTTAGTGCATAAAGGGCAAAAAACCAAAAAACAATCCATGAATTGTTGCCAACACCGATTGTCCAACATAAACTCTGATCTCCATAAAAGCGAGCCTGCACAGCTGGTCACTATATCCACCAACATACTGGACAAAAGATCTGTCATCCCCTCAAGTAGTTATTTTTGGCAAAACCTGGATTATCTGCAAAACGTTACATGAGGGCATCCATTGTGTTTGCATTGACAGATCGTGCCAATAATGTGCAAACAAAAATGCCAACATGCCAAAGATGGCGAGGTCTGCTAGCAAACAAACAAACGCTGATTTGCAAATGTCAAGAATAACATTTAAAGGCTCCAGATGCCTGAAATACAAGTACTCAGTATAATCTTATAGCTAACAATAAAGTCTTTGCTGCTCTCTGCGGGATATACCATGTGATTAAAGGGATGTACACACAGGAAGAGACTAACAGCAGTGTGGCCTCCAGAGGCCATTGGATGTCAAAATGGATTCTGGCGACTCATAAGTGATGACAGTCCAAATAACCATTGGCTAAACTAAGCGAGTGGGTACTGTGTCCTGAGTTAAACCGATTCTGAGCGGAAGGATTGGTGACTGAAGCTATAAAATAAAAACAAAAGGGGGAGAAAAACAGGCTGTTTTTGCAATGATACTGTAAAGTGGAGAATATATTAGAAGGTTGTCTAAACATTCCAGACCTTAAATGTCTAACCAGTGACAAACTGTCAGATACAAAGCACTGGAAGATGAGCCAATCTCTTCATATGTGCTTAATATGCTGTTTGTAAAGCCATTTTTACATTTTTTACTGTCACAGTTTCCGTTAAGCAAACTTTTTTCCCTGACAGAGACAAGACGATGTAAACACTTGAGAGGAATCAGAGTAGACATATGGCGCTATTTCACATTTGATGTCAATAAAAATAAGACATTCAAAGTAAAAGTTGCACTTTATGAAACATGTAGCCAACAGTAACAGTAAAAGTTGTTACTTTAATGGCAAATTTTCTCAATTTCTGGTTTACATTGCACTTTTTCCAAGTTTTACTTCCTCTGGGCTAGCAGTTAGCAAGTATTTGAAGACAATCATAAAAACTACAGAAGACAATGACACTCTACTAGCAACCAAAACAATCCCAAGAAGCCTTCTTTGAATCCAGTTTCCACGGCAGTCAGTGGTCACATCATGTCTAAATTGGTACACAACATGACGTCATGTGAAAAATCTCAATAATCAGAACTCCACTCACTCATCATGTCTGAGTTCAAATCACGAGATGACAATGGTGAAAACACTGGTGGTGAGTGATTTCACAGTGGTTACGTCTGCGTTTTATACCGTCTATAGTCCGACTGCATCCAACATTTACATTTATACAGGTGGGTGATGGTGAGAAGATTTCAGGGCTGCACAAGAAGTGGTCAGATAAAAAGAAAAAGTGAACCATTTATGAGACAGTCAGCTTATTATAGTGCAAACTGTTCACGAACTCAAAGTTTAGCCTGCTACTCAAAGACAAAACAGAAGCATGTTCACTGAAATCTGTTTGTCCTGAAAACCTTTCATGACATCAGCACATTGTGTCATGAAATTCACACACAGAACTACTGGAATCTGTTCGGAGGAGAGTAAGGAAACTATTTCATTCAGTCTGACCCTCTGGAGTGTTTGGAGCCAAAGAGAACACATTGTTTCACAGTACAACACAGATGTCGGGACTACTTAAAGCCATTACACAGAAAACAGCATGCTGAGTTTTAATGCCACACACACACACACACAACATTTGTACATGCATAAAAAAAACAGTTAATCATATTCAGTTAATATCACTAGTCAGGTGGAGCAGCGTGTGTCCACAGACAGGACGGCCGGGGCTCTCCAACAGACTCAGAGCTGGAAACTACATCCCATATTCCACAAAATCTCTTCCAAAGACTGAACTCCAGGGAACCAATTCAGTTTTTTGTTATTTGAGGGTGGTCAAAATGTAAGACCTGACCTTCTCAACTCAATCGCTCTTTTTCCCAGACAACATTATGTCTGCATGAGATTTATGGGGAGTTTTAAAAGAAAGAAAGAAATGGAGAACGGTAAAATGAGGAGAAAAAGCTGGAGTATCACTACATCCTGCAGATGAGATAATCCCACTGCAGCTCCATAACCGCCTCAGAGCGAAAGGTTAATGGGACGACTGGAAGGGAGGCCTCCCACCAGAATATGTGTGAGAGAACAGTGTGTTTTTAAAAGCTGTGCACTTTGTGTGTGTTTATATAAGAGTTGCATATGGAGAGAGGAAAATGCAGCATGTGCGTATATTTTAGCATATATATGTGTGGACATAAGAAAAAGAGCCGGAATCCGGAGAGTTTCAGTCGCAGGTGTGGAAAATGTTTTGTATCTGAAGGGACTCAGAGCCCATAAAATATAGACTTCCTGTCTGGCCTAACAATGAATATGTCCTCCTACTGATACCAATCTGTCCCATATATCATGACACTACCAATGATTTAAACCAGTGCAGGGTTTGTTTGTTTTTTTTGCTTCTTTTCCTGATAATGTTATCTGAAAATATAAATCAAACAAAATGACACTACAAGCTCAGAGTTTCTTCCAGAAAAGTTGTGAGTGGGGGGCTGGAGGTGCTTCATTAATATAGCAATATTTAACTGTTGTAATCATAATCATCAATTATGAAGGAAAAAAAAAAAGCTCACTTTGGACAATGGATGAAGAGAGAGATGGACCAGGGAGTTTATTTCCCACATCCACTGCATAAAGAGTAAAGTGCATAAAGGAGAGCATTAAATCACAGATGGCCTCATTCACAAAGGATTATGGGTAATTCATCCTCTCTTGATTAGTGGACATAACTGTACAGATATCAGCTCTGCAGCTAATGATTTAAACTGCCTGGTGAGACGGTGAGGTGTACCAGGGGAAATGTTCAGGAGCAGAGGGAGTGAACGTGGATGAGTTCAGATACTTGGGGTAAATCATCCAAAGCCACAGACAGTGCACAGGAGAGGTGAGGAAGAGAGCGCAGCATCAGGGGTGATTTAAGACAGAAGGATAGCGGCAAGAGTGAAGATGAAGGTTTACAAGATGGTAATGAGATCCGCTACGGTGTATGGTTTGGAAATGGGGGGCAGAGTTGGAAAGTCAGAGGTTTCAAATGAAAAGAATTTGCTTGGGAGTGCAGCTCAAAAATAAATGAATAAACCCAGTGCACAGGTGTGACAGGGCTCATCTTAGCCAGAACAAGGACAAGCCATGCTTGTACTCGTCCTCATCTAAACCGTGTAAATGCAGTTAGTTCAGTGTTCAAAGAGACTTTCAGTAGAAGACTGAAATAACACCAGAGTGTAAGAAGCTGCGTTTCTTGACCAAAATTTGGAATTTTTTATTTTTATTTGAAACTCTGATTTTAGTTACAATTGTTGACAATGACGAGCATTAAGAAATTCTGTACGTAATAATAACGGTAGTGTCATAAAGCATGTGTTAAATGTTTATAAACTGTTTACTGACAAACAAACTGGTGGTGGTGGAGAATATTTGATTGAATATTTAATTGTTCAATTAAAAACTACATTTAAAATAAAAGGCTGCTTCATCAGAGTAGTTCCCTTTTATTTACTTGTAAACGGGTTAATTATGTTTGATGTACAAGTGGGATAAATGCCCTCATAACCAGCAAAAATGCTGAAAAGTTTAAGTGGATCTGAGCATGGATGGGTTTTCAGTGTGTCAGTGACCAAAGACTCCAGCCAAGAGTTCAACCTTGTATTTAACAGGAAATCATTAGCAGGCAGGTTTCTACAGTTCTACAGTGTCCGGCTTGCCATGAAATGCTGGACGTACTTTTAGGTAGAAGCAAAGTATTTTATAACTTTACTGGAAATGAAGAAAATAAAAACGGAGGAAATGAGGGAGGATATTACTACCCTTGCTACATATAAGTGACTTTTTTTTCCCCCCCATTTCATTTCATTTTTTTTTTTACTATACTGAACAGAGGTGACGTACAAATAAAGTGCAATCCAAGTCATGGCAGATAAAGGAGCATTAGAGCTGAATTCTTCCATTTGGGACGTAGTTCAGGGAAAGCTGATGTCCAGGAGCAAACATTTTATGAGAAACTGAAACCATATCAGACTTTCAAAACCTTCCGTAGAGACCTGTTGGCAAAACAGACAGTCCTAATACTTTGATTTTTTTTAAACTGGCATCCATTGAGCTATACCAGTATCCCTTCTGTAAGACGACTTCCTGGGAATTCATAAAAAACCTTTCATCTCAGATTGACCGGCTTTATTGCTCAAGTTTTGAGGTACTTTCATGAAAGAAATGACCAAGAGCAGCATAACAAGTACACACACAAAATGAGCAAACACAACACTTTAAAAACAGCAACAACATAGAAAAACCCCCAAAACTGATCCCTTCTTAACAAGGATCATTATCAAGTGGTCATTACGCCGCCTCAGTGACGCAGCAATGAGCCGGGGCGACAGAAAACTTAAAAACACAGTCCCCCGCTTTGCTCTTGCATCACTGCTGAGTTCCACCCAGGAACCACAAATGAACATGCTGGCACCAGCAAATGTTCTGGCCTGGGACCAGTCCTGGGACCAGCCCTGGGGACACTGCTCAAGATTAATGTATTGGATCATCACCATGGCAATAAAAAAAAAAGAAAAAAAAAATCCCTGAAAAGAAACCATTAAAACCTCAAGAGATGGTCCAGTTGAGTGCTTTTCGAGTAAGAACGAGTGCGGTATTCTGTACTGCTGCTTTACCAAGAAAATATACGAAACTTAATTTACTGTAACTGAAAAATGCCGTGAAAAACAATACTGTAATGTAGACCTTTGTGTTATTATAGAAACAAATGACCACGTTTACCCAAATTGGGAGTTACTAAGGAGCTACTTTTTTTGCAAGTTTTATAATGTTCACCTTCAAGAGTTTGGTTTCCACTCAAATACAGTGGAGTTTCAAAGAATCTATTCTGCATTAAATCAAGTGAAACTGTATTTTATTACCATCATGTCCAGTGTTTATTCCTTGAGCACTGTTCTGGTCTCCAACATCTCTTTTTGTAAATACTTACTAAACGCTCCACTATGTTTGTGTCTGAATGTAAATCAAAGCAGTGAAATTGATGGTTTTAAAACCAGCACACTGAGTTGAAAGATGCTGAAATCACAGCCTGTGTATCTGAGATGACATCATACATTGGTCTGTGAACAACACCCTCAAGATAGGAATTTCAGCCATCACCATATTTGTTTTTAAACTAAACTAAACATGAGGAGAGATTGCAGAATCTGAGAATACGATTAAAACCTTGCAGCACATATCTTCTATTCTACTTCATTATTTAGCAAGCGATCAGCACAGTGGACCGATCTGCATGTTTGTTTTGGCACAGATTTTATGCCGGACACCATCCCATTCATTCAGGCTTAGGATTGGAGCCATGAGGATATCAGCTTGTGAGTCTCTGGGACTTTTGTCTACACCCAATCTCTAACCGTAGGTATTTTGCGAGTATGGTGAATGTATTTACCACTACATCACGGAGAAGTAGTTTAACTAAACGGGACAAACATCAAGTCATGTTTAATAAAAACTTAAATGAGTGATTAAGTTGCAGAGTCATTTTTAAATTTCAGATCCGATTTCTATTTGTAACCTAAAGAGTCGCCTCCCTGTTGGTCATTAGAAAGAATGCAGTTTTAAGGCACTTTGACACTGGATTCACCTTTTAAGGGGAAATTATGGTACAGCAGTGGCTGTGTGCTGGCAGCTAAATACTGCCCATCTACCTGCAGACAGCATCTTGTCAGATGGGGGCACACCCATGTGCGCTACTCTTGTGCTGTTGCTGGTCCATTAGCCAGCAGTGCAGAGGAGTCAAACTGAGTGTTAAAAACTATGGAAAGCCAATTCTTGTGCACTTTCCTGGTGCATGCAGCGTTTTGATTAATGCATTTAATGAAAATCCCACAGTCCAAAGACATACCATGGGGTTTTGGTTAATTGGTGACTCTAAACTGCCCTTAGGTGTGAATGCAAGTGTGAATGGTTGTCTGTCTCTCTACGTTAGCCCTGCATCAGGCTCATGACCTGTCCAGGGTATACCCAGCTTCTTGCCCTATGGTAGATGGGATAGGCCCCCCCCTGAAAAGGATAAGCGAAGAGAATGGATGGATGGGATGGCATTTAAGAAGAGTATTTCTGTAACAGAAACACTCTTCAGGTTACTGAGAGACAATCTTTTGTTTCTCAGTAATCTGAAGAACACACTGAAGAGTTTTTATTGGAACTGCTTCCTGGCAAAGAAACAGTCCCTGTTCTAGCTTGACAGCAGGATGTTTCGAAAATACACAAAAAGACTGGCGGTGTTTCAGGGAAGAGAATACTTTTTATAAGGTTTGTTAAAAAGAAACTTCACTGACATTAACTGAACTGGAGTGGTAACAGAAATGAAAGAGACAGAAGCAAAAACTCCCTTTTTTCCCTTCAAGGCTGCAACTCTAGGACTGATTCCCAGTTTGGAAGTGTCACTGAAAATTCCGCCAACAGTCCAACTTCCTTTTTTTATTCCAAAAAGATTGAAAACAAAACGGAGCAAATGCAACAGTTTGATTTGAGCCCCAGGCACGCATAAGATCGGAGCTGGTATGTGCTCACTGGACTAATTCATATGGCCGCATCAATCCAAATTCTAGGAATACCGCATGATGATTGCTCCCAGAGATGGGCTCGGTTTCACATTGCATCTCTGCAGGCCAGAGGGGCTTAAGGAGAGCAGCTCTGGTCATTACAGCGCCACAGGGGAGCTTGTCTGATCACAGCTCATCACCCCACACACTGTTTACATTCTGATCAGCAACACCAAGCCCCGTCATCCCCATACATATGAATGTTTATTTAGACAGCGGACCCGAACAGGATTTCATTGTGATCTCTGTAGAGGGTGACAGTGAAAACATCACTCTAGGGTTTCAGCCAGCGGGGAAACTCCTTTTCAGCAGTGTAAATACAGAAATTGCATCCTGTAAGCACAGTGGAGATGAAATCAGTATGTAGATAGTTTCTGGTTTCTTTCAGTGCAAATATTTAGTGTGCAAAGGTCTAAGCTCAAGATTATTGACTTACACAGAGATCCTAACACAGACTAGGGTTTTCTAAATAGATATCAGTTAGGTACAACAGATGGGCTTAACCGCCTCAGAATAATTTGGATTATCAATAACTCGATAATTCAGCAGAATAATGTAATTTCCCCCCCTAAAAACAAAACAAAAACAACAGGCCTTCCCTCTAAAACACAATAAACACAATTAGTAAACAGTTTATCCTGGTCTCCTCACTGATTTTGGTTAAATTATACATAAGATAGCTCCCAAATTAAAATGTATGTTTTTCAGGTCAGCTCAGGTTCTATCTGGTGTGTGTGGTCTTTGTGGTGTGGAGGGTCAACACAGCAGGGATGGAGTTCAGCTGAGGTTGCACACTGAGTTGCATGCTCGGGACAGAAAACAAAACCCTACCTACGATCCAATGAATACAAACGTCAGGTTTCTGGGTGGGAAGAGTTCTCATTCCCGTCGCTCAACTAAGGACTCCTACTGGTAAGTCATGGTTCCTGCACAGTGAGGCAGCTATCCCCTGCAGGTAATAACTGTTGTTACTGGCAGAGATTCTGCACAACTACAAACTTCAACATAGTCCCTGCCTTACCAACTTTAAAATAATACTGGCTGTTTACTGACTTACTGAGTCAAAAGAGGATCAAAGGGTGCATGTTTCAGAATGAGATTTCTGTGCGAGGGTTCTGTGTCTAAGAGCTTCACAGTCTATCCACTCCATGTCTGGTTACAAAACACAAAGATGGCGACAGTGATGACACTCAGCTTGATGCGTCATGATGGTACTTAATTGACTAATGAGTGTTGCCATCTTTTATATACAGTCACACTATTGCCGATTTCAAAAATGTAGGCTTTTAGACAACCCAACAGGTTGTGCTGAAGTACAGCAGTAGACTTTTAAGGCTATAACAATAGTTCAAAGTTATGGACGCCCCAAAACTTATTTTTTAATGTTTTGTAATTATAAAAACTCTTTAATTTAACATTACGACCCACAAGTGGACAAACTCTGTTCTAGAATCAAGTATAAGGCTACATAATAGCATCAAATCACTAAGCCCTAAGCGAGGGAGGATCATTAGGGACTTGCCTTGGCGTTTTGCAAAGCGGTCTGGTAGCTGGACGGCTTGTAGTACAACCTCTGCGATGGTTCAGTGTGTATGTCTCCTAGAAACAGCTCCTCCACCAGGTGATCCAGGTTGTGGTGCAGGTACTGCTTCTCCACTCTCAGCAGCTGCAGCTCATGCATGGCAAAGTTAAGCTCTCTGGTGCAGTCGTAGTCGCCCTCCTCGCTCACCAGCTCGTACATCGCGTTGGGTTCCCAGGCGCCCTTCACTGCCCCTCGGCAGCTGCGGTTGAGCCTCTGGCTGAGCTCTTTGTCCACGGTGGCTGTGTGATACACCATCTGGACACGATGGAGCTGGTACTCCGCCTCTGTGCCACCGCGGATGATCCAGGAGGCCTGGCGTAAGCGCAGTCGACCCCGAATCACCAGCGTGTAGATGGGTTTGGTGCAGTGGTTGTCCTCATAATAAAACTGGTGAGCCTGGAAGGTGTTGTTGGGGTAAAACCTGTAGGAGCGTGTCAGGAACTCTGGGCCTGGTCTGACCTCACAGCTGAAAGAGAGGACAGATGGCTGTTAAAAAGAAACAAAAAAAAAACCCCTTAAAAACATTTATGTTTGTGTGAAGAGCTGAGTGGTATTCATGTTCCTTGCCTTGAGTTTCACAAACAGCATGTTTGAAGTATAACCCAATTAATCTGCACAGAAGATTGACTAGCTTCAGCCTTTTTTATTGGTTGTACGTCTTTGGTTTATTCTTTTGTGAAGAGTGTCACGAGATCAGCGTAAGTTTCTGTCTGGTGGTGCATTCAGAGAAGCTCAGACATGTCAGACCTGACAGGAGGAGGCTGAAACTAATCTGTATCTATATATCTATATATAAAGAACAAAAGCCCCACCCACTTGCTGTTGTTCTTTTTTAACATCATAACCAATGAGTTTGTCTATTACTATTTGTGTTCCTGTTTCCCCATTGTTGAGTTGCAACCATTAGTTTAAAGGAAGCCTCCAAACCACTCCCATGTGCCTGTGAACCACATCAGTGGGCGTAAAAATAAAGAAATGTGGTGAACACACATCGACTCACAGTGAAAGTAATGTAAGCTTTAATTAAACAAAAAAATAAAAAAATCACCTCCTGCTAAGAGTTTCTTACTATAATGAAGTGAAAGTAGTAGCTTGCTAGAGAGTAATGCAAACTCTTAAAGATTTTGGTTAGGGGGAAGATACAGAGAAAAGACGCCAACCTGGTGGACACCCAGTGGCCCTCCACGCTGGGAGGCATCTGCACAGTGATCCGGGCGCCATTGTGAAGGTGCTTTAGCATGTGCTGGCACTGGGAGTCTTTGATGGATCGGCCAAAGGTTTTCTCTGGATAGAGGCGACTTGAGCGGCTTTCCGAGTAGTGAAGAGAGGAACCTTCAACCCAAACTGTGGGAACAAGACGATGAGAAAACAAAGATGATGATGACGAGCCTTTACGTACAATAACAAATGTAAAACAATCAAACAGAAAATTACATTGTAAACAGCTGTTGAATTACCATTGAGCAGCGTTTGAACATCAAATGTTGGGGTCACCGAGTTTGAAAGGCTGGATAAACCACAGAGGAATCTGTTTATTCTGGCATATCTTTACCTTCTAAAAAATTACCGCTTTTAGGACAACTGGGAACGCCAATTACGCTGAGATCAAACGGAACAGCAGTCTCCCTCATGCTTTCAATCTGCCAGGCCTCTTTGAAGTGTTTAGAGGGTTTAATTTTGTCATTTTAACTCTTGTCATCGCCAGAGATTACATGGCTGCTCCAACAACCTGTAACACCTGGTATGAATGAAAATGAGCAGATCATGAGACAGGTTGAGGGCCAATTAGTGAATTTCGGCTTCCACTCACTTTTAACAACAACATTCAAACGAACCAAGACAAATGACGAAGATTGCGCCGATTTGTATGCTCAGTTCCCACACCGCCCGCGTGCCCTTGACGCACCACATGGAAAAACAATACCTTCAGCGATGGACTGAGCTTAAAGGGATAAAATGTCGGAAATGAAAGTACTTAAAAAGCCTACAGCCAGAGAAAAGCCCCGAAGCTCACATTCCCTCAAGGATTTATGCCATGTAATACTCCGATATCATCAAAATCTACCTTGAAATATGAAGACTTTGCCATGAATTCTTTCTATCAGACCAGACTTGCCTGGCAATATCATTTTAATGCCCAGGAATGCCACTGCGGTCGCCTCTGAGCTTTTAATTTGAGACTAATAACACTGAAGGAGGGAGAAAAACATCTGATTAAAAGAAGCCAAAAGCTCCATGAAGAACAAAGCTCCATCCAGCTGTTTTACACCCAGTCGGGCAGCTCCTATGAGAGCTAGCCCAGGCTTGTGTGCAAATCACCACATCACAGCACTGCTGAATGGAAACACTGGACAGTGGGAGAGACTTGATCCCCCGACTCAGCTGGTGGCATTAGTAACGCTGCTGTTTGCTGTAGCTGATCTTAAAAATCAAAGGAGACACTTCACAGTTTGCTGCATGTTATGCACGTATGTATATAAATGTTTTTTTAACACCTGCACTCGGCTTGGACCACAGCAACGATCTGAGCGGCTGCCAACAGCTTGTTTTCACTATGATGAGAGCAAAAACTAACAGTGTGCGCTTGAGAGTGTTAAAAAAGGAAACCTGGTGAGATGTATAATCTAAAACACACTTAACACTTTTATGCAACCCCTCGGGTTTAATAGCAGGTGAATTTAAGGGTTGAGCACATCCAAAAGAAAACTAACAGAAATCTAGCTGCGAAACTGTTACCCGGTTATAAATTAGGTGAATAGAACATAAAGTGGTACACCGTGCCATTATGTATTTAACAGAAGAATTTTTTAAGAGAAAATGCAAAAGCAGTTCGGGGGTGCGCTGGTGTGGAGCATTCAAGCAGGAAAGAAGTCAGAGATGATCTCAGAGAAGCTTTTGTTGCTGCCCATTAATCTGGGAAGGGCCATTTCCAAACAGTTTGAAGTCTGTCATTATGCAGCAGAAAGATTATTCACAAGTGCAAATCATTCAAGACTGTAACCAATCTTCTAAGGAGTGGACGTCCCAGCAAATTCACCCCAAGGTCACAACGTGCAAAGCTGAGATAAATTGCAAACCCCCCCCCCAAACCCAAGCGCTACATCTCAGACCGCACAGGCCTTAATTAGCATGTTAAATGCTAAAAGTTCAGGACAGCACAATCAGAAAAAGAATGAACAAGTATGGCTTGTTTGGAAGGTATGCCAGCCTCTTGGCTCTAGAAAGAACAGGAAAACCACAGGACCTCTTGGACAGTGTCCTTCAAACAGATCAGACCAAAGTGGAGATGTTTGGCAACAACACGCAGCAGCACGTTTAGCAAAAAAAAGCAAAGGCAATATAATAGAAAAAACAGCTTATATCAGTGTTGATTGAAGCTTGTTTTGCAGCTAGGACCTGGGCACCTTACAGTCATTGAGTTGACCGTGAACTCCTCTACTCTACAGTCAAATGATCCCCATGGCTGAATAGCTGAAAAAGAAAAGAATCGAGATGTTGCAACGGCCCAGTCAAAGTCCAGACCTCAACCTGATTGAAATGTTGTGGTGGAACCTTAAGAGAGCTGTGCCTAGATGAGTTCATGGAAACCTCAATGAACTGAACGAAACTGTAAAGACGAGTTGGCCAGAATTCGTCAGCAATCAAACGAGAGCCCGATCCAGTCGCACAGAGAACGATTACTTCAAGTTAAAAAATGTTAAAGATGATTCTACAAGCTAAAACCTCAGAGGGTGTACTTAGTTTGTCACACGCTTCTGCATTTTGGCTTCGTTTTTGTTAAACAATGACAGTGTAATATGTCATGTTGTGGTTCATCTGAGATTTTATTTGCTGATTTTTTTTTTTTAAATTATATCCTATATGTAAAACTAATTTTATCCATCAGTCTGCTAACATATTGTTTTCTGAAGTTTGTGCTCAGTGGAGACCCGGGGATTGTCTGGAAAACTGTGGAATAACACTATCGGATCATTTTTTCTGAGAAAAATGAAGATTGGAACGGGAATTTCAATTAGATATACTAGTTGATATTGACAGTGCTTATTTTTTTTTTTTTTTTTTTAAATGGTTGATCTGTGATCTTCTAGCTTTACCTGGCAGAGTTGGGTCTGGAATTTGTTCAGAAACATCATATAAGTCAGAAAAGTGGAACTAAGAAGAATCCTGAATAGAAATTTGCCGTTTTCACACCTCATCCACAAAGAGCCAATCAACAGCTGAACTATGAAACATTTGAGTCAGTCATGTTGCACTGAAGCATGCGCACAGCAGAGACAGAGTTTCAACTGAGTGGTGGGACACGAATCTGCTGGCTATTGGAGTAAAGATGGTACTTGGTGTACTTTTTTCTCACATTACTGTGTGAGCATAAGTTCATTAACCAAAAAAAACCCTCCCCAAAACAAAAAAGAAACAAAAAAAAAGGACAGAACTAATTTTTTTGAGGAGGGAGTGGTTTCTAAAGGTTACTGAAGCTTAATGTCGGATTTACGCAACAGCCTGAGAATGAAGGAGGAGAATAATAAATCTTTGTTTCTGTGAAAATCTGCTGTTTCGTTAGATTAAGACATAATTTGTTATCTCCAACAATGTTTTCCTAAGTCGTGGTCAAATGTTTTTTTTTTCCTCTTTGTGATAAGATTGTGAGCAACATCGCTGATATCTTTCTGTCATGACGTTAGACAGACCTGATCCAGAGTCAGCAGTGTCATAGGGAAGCCTGTGCAAATATCAAAATTATAATGAAACGTGAGCTTCGTTTTGAACCACAGTTACAAATCTTCTTACATTACATCAAAGACAAATGTGGACCTACTCGAAATGGAAAACAGACTCAGACAGGGAAATAAATGAGGAAATGATTATATGGAGGTTATGCGTAGCTTGTTAAAAGTGACTTTATAAGAGGAGGCATCAGACGCCTGCTTCTTTGCACTTTTTTAGTGTTGAATGTGTGACTTTCTTCCACTAGTTTTTTTTTTTTTTTTTTTTAACTCTTCGTTAGTGAAGGCAATAATCAGAACGGCTCCACTCAAACTCTTTCTGGCCCTTCGCTGCTGCTGCTGCTTTCCCAAACTGCTGTTTTCCCAAACTGCTGCTCTATCTAAATCAAAGCACCCACAAAACTCCCAGAGTCCCAAACCACGGCGAACATTTCCAGTTGGCCCGATCCCACTGATGAGGTAAGAAGGCTGGGACCCCTGACAAGAAGAGAGACTGTACAGCATTTATGGGAAGAGAAAAATCCTAAATTTCCAGAGCAGAGACCAGACAAAGGACTTTTCTTCTTGTTATCTCAGAGTCTGGCAGTGACCGCGCAGGAGTTGAAAAGGGTAGACAAAATGACACTTCAACTTCAGGGCAGCTGCATCCAGAGGTGGGAAGTTATAGAGTACATAAAAAAAAAAAAAAATAGAAAAGTGGAGGTGCTTGAGTACTTTGAAAGGCTTTCGACTTGGAGATCAGAAGGAAAATTGCACCTTTCGAAAGCCAGTACACATTTATCTAAGTTACTTACACAGATTAGAAAGTAAAAGCCATAAAATACTGCTTTGGTTCAGTAACAAGAGAGTAGAGCCAGCTGTCAGATTGTACTTGCATGGGGGAAATGCCAAAACAATGTCAAAGGAAAGAGGAGCTTTGAGCTACACTTGACTCCCTGTTTTTGTATTTTAGATGCATTTAGGTAAACTTATATAAACTTGAGAGAAAAATAAGTAATAAGATACAGTACAGCCATACAGGCTGTAATTTGGCACAGAAAACGCTCGTGTTTAGCAGGTGTAATGCACGCTAGCGGTGAGCATTAAACATTAAGAAGGCTGAGCCAGGAGGGAACGTCATTGCTTCTAGTCTAAGTTTTTACCCGAGGGTGGCAGGAGTAGGAAACCCAGTTTTAATTTTCCTCAGTGGGACACGCATATCTACAAATTTCAAGTTGCTAAGACAAAACCATGATTGTCAACATCACAGTGGTGCCAAGTGAAAAGCCATCAGAAACATTGGTTACCTTGGGAGAGTTTAAGTCTGTCTTAAAGGAACGAGAGAACAGCTCTTTTACTCAGTGTGATTGTTTTTAATGTACTCTTAATTTGATCTGTCATTGTATATTTTACACATGTTTGTATGGGATATTATATTTGTTTTAAATGTTATATACCTATGTGGTATGTGACTTTTGTTGCTATGATGCCAGGTCTCTCTTGTAAATGAGATTTTTAATCTCAATGAGATTTTTACCTGGATAAATAAAGGATTAATAATAATTAAAAAAAAACAGCAGGTATTTTCAGGCTCTGGGGCTCATGGCAATCAGGTTGATGAGATTTTTTAATCTGGACCAAATGTTGGAAAATACATTTTCTATTTTTGTTCAGAATTTTTCTTCCTTTGGGACAAATTAAAGACATCCATCCATTTTCTTCCACTTCTCCAATTTCCTTAATCCAAACCTTTGACTGTTTTTGAAAAATGTTGAAGAAATAAGAAAAAAAAAAGTCACCACCATAATTACTATTAATAAAAAAATAATACTTCTTTAATTCTGAAAAAAAACACCAACATAGACCACACACGAATGGAACAGGAATTTCACAGGGCCCCTGTAGTCTCATTTTAGAGTATTTAGCAGCTGCTTTGGCACTTTAAAGGTTTTTGGGGGATTTTTCTTGGAAGCCATCTGATTCTTCGTAGCTCAACCTTCAAGAGGAAAAATGGAAATGTGAACATCTGCATTTCAGTGTCAACAACAACACCTCCAACAGCTGATGTGGACCATGCTTCACATAAAAGTTACAGAAAAGTGACTAAATGGACCTTGAGATGAGATTGTTTTGTAATCCATCCAAACTTCACAACCAGCACTTTTACTGCATTCCTGCACTGGCTGCTGATACAGATGTGCAGGACAAACCGGGCTACAAATTGTGCCTCCTACTTCCTTTCCTCGCTTCCTTTCGCTGCAGTTTGACTGCATCTCTCTCAGTTATGCCGGCATGACTCTCCCTCTCGCTATGAAATTATTGTGCAAATTGTCTGAGTGATGCTTTGCAATTATGGCAATGGTTATTTGGCGTCTTTGGAGATCTGCTAGTCTCAAACTGCTTTGACTTCCAGACCACTTTAACAGCTGATAAATGCTGGTAACTGGCATCCAACCCAGTGCAACCCCAAATTACAGCAGCTTTTGCAGAGCCAGACCGATGCATCGGCAGACTGACAGCACTAGCTGATACGATATATTATGTTTTAGGCATTTTGCACAAATGCTTTTATGAACCTTCAAGACATCAACACAAACTCCTTTAAATGATTTCAATCACAGTGTGTCAGCAACGTAGCCGGTTTTGTTGGTGTATTACCATTCACTAAAGTTACTTTACAGTGACTACTGTGATGTTAAGTACAAAATTATTGGCTATGATTTTATAATACAATAGCACATCTGTCCAATCTGGATTTCAGAGGCAGGCATGAGATGATTAAAATGTGTATTTTTTCTTTTTTTTAACCCCTTTTTTGAACCAAAATGCCAATTTTGGCAATATGTGTGTAATATTAGTCAAATTATAGCAAATATGGGTGAAATGTGTTTCTATTTTTTTATTGCTACTTTCTATTCTTTCAACTTTTCTGAAAATTTAAAGAAACTATAGCCACATGACCACCACACACAAAATAATATAATGATAAAAAAACAAAACAACAGCAACTACTCTGAAATTAACATTAAAGTAAAGCTGTCAGTTAAGCCAATATCTATAAGCAGATACAATAAAAACTTCATGGCTCCATTGAGGTCTACTGAGCAGAATAGATTAGATTCAGTAAAAAGGTGAAATAGAAGCAGCTGCTCTTCCGTGGGTCCATTTCTTGGCTTTTTTTTTAACCTTTCCGTTTTGCTCTCCAAAGACACGCTGAGGTTTTCTCTCCCAGTAAATTTACAGCGCACTCTAATCTAGCCTGACAGTGCATTTTCATTGCCACTCTGAAAGGCTGCAATAACACACCACTTAATTGAACGTTCGGATTCACTTAAACACACTTAAGGATAAGTGGACCCCAAAATGTTTTTTATCTCAACCAGGTTATTTGAAGTTGCTGCCAAATGTTGCCTTCCACTGTCACTGGCAACAGATGGATTGGGTCAACTGCAGTCCCATAATCCTCTGCTGCTCAGACAGGGTTTTCATCAGGATTGGATGTTTTAAGTGGCTCTTAACTCTCGCAGCGCTTTCATCTGCCCAGCAGCCTCGGGGAAGATTTTTATTGCCTTCTAACCTTTATACATCACTATGGCATAAGGCGCAAAGTTAACACAAAGTTTGTCCTGAATGGAGGCAAACATCAAGCCATGATAGTGAACAGGTGTGATGAAGGGAATTTTAACCTATGAGTGACCCACATCTTACATATGTGCGGTTTAAATGATTAGCAAAGTAAATAAATTAACTTAAATGACCGTCTGAAATTGTTCTAACTGTACAGCTTGTATAGAAAAACAAATACGAAACACATGGACATGTTTCCAAGCGCACGTGGAGTAAAACATGCTTTGAGCTCAGTTTTTTAAAATCTTTTAACACTGACACTTGTTGCAGCGCATGAAACCTCAGAATAACAAACACTAGCACATGGGGGAAAGTTTCTTACCCAAAAAAGCAACGAGAAGCAGCTTAGATGACGGCCCCATTTCAGACTTGGTTGGATTAAAACGAGCTTCACGCTGGTCACAACGGAGATCAGGCTTCCCTTTATTCAGCGTCCGAAGTTATTCCGACAGAAATCCTCACATTTTGGATCCAAAGCGTGGAGAAAACACTTTTGCAAAATCCGAGCATCATATGAAGAATGCTCTCGATACGCAGAGGGAGAGAATAAGAAGCCCGCTGTACTTTCGCATCCGAACAAAGAATCCTCTGGAAATCAAAGTAAAGTTTAAACTTTACAGCGAGCCACCCTGAAACAATCAGAGATTGTGGTGCTGAGTTCAAAAAGCTTTCTTACTTTAGCGCGCGTGTCCTGTGTGCTGCGCCCCGGAGGAGTGTTTGGAAGTGTGTCCAGAGATTGGACTCACCCCGCCCATTTAGATATTATATGGGCGTGGGGAGGGTGCTTAAGCTTCCCCAGTGAAGTGCAAAATCCAAAGAGAGAAAAAAAAATGTATTTTTCACCTTCTCATGTTTTTCTTGGGGAGTACATTTTCTGTATTTTCGGGTTGAATATGTTATTTTTCTCATCGCATTTTAAATATCCATGACTGTAAAAATAAGATGCCATAAAAAACAGATATTGTATTACTCGTCCAAAATTTGAGAACAGTTTTGGTTTTGTCTCTTTTTTCTCACTCAAAAATATCTTCGCATTACCTGATACCTGCCCCTAGTTTCTCCTGCAACTCTCTGGGGTTTATCAACAAAAAGCCAGAAAGGGTCTAATGAAGAGGTGAACTGATCAAAAAGTAGAGGCGTGTATTAAAAAATGCACCGAACATGAAAGGGTAAATAAATTAAAAAAGAAAAGAAAATCTCATGTTGTTTAGGATGAATTAGGGTTAGCCTTTACTGGTTCCTCCTTCATTAGGTCCCACATCCTCCTTCTTATCATCCATGATGGATGCTGCACATTTTTCTTGACCATGGCTTTCAAATTATACACCTTCAGATCGTATCCTCCTGCCTGGAGGGAGAACAACAGAGGTTCAGTGTCCTTCTCCTAGAACACCTGTTGTGTGTGTGTGTTTGTGTGTGTGTGTGTGTGTGTGTGTGTGTGTGTGTGTGTGTGTGTGTGTGTGTGTGTGTGTGTGTGTGTTTGATAAAGAGAGACTGTGGCCTTGAGTTTCCGACTCTTTTCAATTTGAGGTTTTCTTGTCTCTCTGATCTTTTAACCCTGAGGCTGCACTCCAGCTCCTCCATCACTCACCCAGGCTGTTGGAGGCTGAGGCATCTGTGGTACATTTGCTTTTAAAACTCTATTGTATCACTGCAAAAGCACCAAATCCATTTAAAAATTGAAAATCAAAAACTTACTTGGTAGCGTCATCTTACTAGCTTATAATCACCAGACTATTGATTATAAGCTTATCGATTTATGACTTTCACTCAGTTTTAACTCAAAATGATCGGTTAAAAGAACAAAATTAATAAAAACTTACAGAGTAAATGATCTTGGGAAAATTTTAGAATAATTTAGAGGTCAGTGAAAAAGATCTTTTAGAGATCATCTCTGCAGCTCTGAAAAAGGTTTTTAGCAACTTACTGGGAGGCAAATACACTAAAGTGTTGCATGGCACATCAAGAACAGGGGTGGACCTGCAGGAGTCCTTCGACTACATTTCCCCCACCAGTGTGCAGCAGTGTGGTTTAAATCTCTGTGTATTAGCACCTAATGGCTTCATTTAGAAATGAAAATGGGCTACAGAGGTTTGTATATGTTTTTCTGTTTTTTTACAGAAACTAGCAGCCTTTAGCACCAACCAATTTAACCTGAAGAGGCATAAACTAAAAACACTTCACAGATTTCGGACAGCTTCTTCCACAATCAGGCTTTTCTATAACTTAAACAGTTTAATTTCCCTTTAAAACTTACTAAGCTGTAGCTCAGTCAGACAGTCAAACAGATTTTATATTCATAGTTTTTTGTCACATGTCCATCACAAAAGTTGAACACGCAAGCCAACACTATACTGGACACTGCAGATCTGCAGCACTTGTCTGTCCGGCCCATTCTCATCCTCAGGGTGCCAGTTGCTGCTCTTTCGTCAGTTTTGTGTTATTAAATGACAGTAAAAATTGAAGGGTTGGCCTCTGGAGCACTGCAAGACATGTTGAGGAGGTAATTTAGCCATTTGAATGAGCTGTGTTGGATCACGGACACATCTAGTTGGGGACCCCTGCCCTAAAGCAACTCCAGGTGGGGAACTCCAGGCCTCAAGGGCCGGTGTCCTGCAGGCTTCAGATATCCCCCTGGGTCAGCACGCCTGAATCAATTCAATTCAATTCAATTCAATTCAATTTTATTTATATAGCGCCAAATCACAACATAAGTCGCCTCAAGGCGCTTCATAGATACAGAGAAAAAACCCAACAATCATATGACCCCCTATGAGCAAGCACTTTGGCAACAGTGGGAAGGAAAAACTCCCTTTTAACAGGAAGAAACCTCCGGCAGAACCAGGCTCAGGGAGGGGCGGCCATCTGCTGCGACCGGTTGGGGTGAGAGAAGGAAGACAGGATAAAAGACATGCTGTGGAAGAGAGACAGAGGTTAATAACAGATATGATTTAATGCAGAGAGGTCTGTTAATACATAGTGAGTGAGAAAGGTGACTGGAAAGGAAAAACTCAATGCATCATGGGAATCCCCCGGCAGCCTATGTCTATTGCAGCATAACTAAGGGAGGATTCAGGGTCACCTGGTCCAGCCCTAACTATATGCTTTAGCAAAAAGGAAAGTTTTAAGCCTAATCTTAAAAGTAGAGATAGTGTCTGTCTCCCGAATCCAAACTGGAAGCTGGTTCCATAGAAGAGGAGCCTGAAAACTGAAGGCTCTCCCTCCCATTCTACTTTTAAATACTCTAGGAACAACAAGTAGGCCTGCAGAGCAAGAGCGAAGTGCTCTAATAGGGTGATATGGTACTACAAGGTCATTGAGATAAGATGGGGCCTGATCAAATGATTAGGTCATTACCAGGCCTCTGGAGAACTTCACAACATGTTGAGGAGGAATTTAGTCATTTAAATCAGCTGTGTTGGATCAAAGACACAGCTAAAACCTGCAGGACACCGGCCCTTAAGGCCTGGAGTTTCCCCACCACTGCCCTAGAGGATGGCATCATATCCGTGTGACCTTCTGCATGTTGCCACTTTCTTGCACGCTCTTTGATCTTCATCCTCCCTCCAGCTGAATCTAACTCTACTCATCTACAGGCAAGGGGTTAAGTTCTCCTTTGCTTGTTTATTGTTCATTTATTGTACGGCTTGGAAAGGACAGAGAGATTTCTGTCACAAGACACCTTCAAATTAATTTCCTCTGTTATCAAAGAACAAAGTGGACAAAACTTAAAGCAATTTAAAAAAACATAAAGTAGAAAAAATTTCTCATAGAGAGCTTGATTTCCATTATTTGAGTCAACAATAAATGTGATGTGTTTTGCTTGAGTTTTTTTCCCCTCAACCTTAAAAATGTGTAACAAGCTTTAACTTGTGTTCTGGAGTACCAGGTGCGATTTGTGTCATAAGGTGCTAAAACATGTTTTGCAGGGTGAAGCTTATATCCATGCCTTCAAGATTAAAAGAGTAGCCTTTTTGAAGGAGGCCTCACCATATACAAAAACAGTATTTCATGTGCTTATCCAGTAATCCTCCAATCCTTAATCAGTAGAGCAATGCTCCACTGAGGGAGTTCTAATTAATTCCTATTGTTTGGAGTCTTAACCCTCGCTGCTGCCTCCCCTCGGTATGCTCCACGGTATTTGCTCTTTTTCCTCTAATCCTGTATCCACGCTCTGGGAGAGTGACTCCAGGCCTCCTCTCTCTCTCTCTCATTCCCCTTTCTCAATTTCTTCTTTTCTCAGGATCCGGAAAAGCCGTTGAGCAAGATCCGGACAAACAGAGTGATGGGATTTAGAGGAAGCCCGGAAGGGGTATTAATAAGAAGGCTGTATAGAGGAGAAGCTGGAGGCAGGGAGGTGAAACTGGGCAGGCTTGTTCTGGTGTGTTGACCCTTGTGTTGTCCTGTGTGGCTAATCAAAGCATCACTGCACCCTCTTTGTGTTGCTGCAGGAATGCGATCTATGAGAGGTGGAAATAAAGCTGCTTTGGTTGTCAAAAGGCTCAATGGGACAGTAAAGCCCCCGAAAGCCTGTATCTGAGGTATTTTGGCGTCTTTTTTTGTCTGCAGGAAGGGTTAATATAACATCTTTTTAAAAAAACAAAAAAACTTTGCCTTGGTCAACATCAATTATGATTTTATCTGCAAATGATAAAAGCTGTTATTCCCTGTTTAAAACACCAAGGCTCTTTCTGACATGTTTTTTGCATTAAGTATCATCAGTGTCGCTAAACATGTCAGAGCAGATGACTGTAAGAGGGGACGTTTCAAAGATGCTTTCTCTCTGTTTCTGATTAAGCCTGTGTTCTGGAGAATTGGATGACTGTGCTGTTTTCTGTTTGCCTCTTTCTTCATGTCTCCCTGCAGACATTTGTGTCATTTCTGGAGAGCGTTGCAAGAGGCGGAATCAGAAGGGAGTGGCACGCAGTGAGCATTAAACTCACACTGAGTTATGAGACATTAATTGTTTAACCGTTGATTATTTGTTACTGTATATCAGGACAGAGGAGATACTGACGGCAGCTTTGTGGTGGGTATATCAAGTTAGAGGGTGGCAGCCAAACATTGCAGAGAACCACATGATTTTTAAATACAAGATAAGTTTGAGGATATGTGTTAAAAACAGAAGAAAGGATGCACAAGACAAGGATTGATTTTAATGGAATTGTGCAATTATATTAAACATAGAGTGTCATGTTTAAAGATTTATTAAATGTGTGTTTCAGATATAAAAAACATACTTCTGAAAAAACAAAAACTGTTTAACTCGGGAGGATAACAGTGATTTTCTTTGGTGGTACCCTCTCACAAACAGCAGTCAAACATGTGAGGTAGCCCAGAGCCCAGCTGAAGAGGCCTGGCTCCAAGTATAGTTCCAGTATGGCCAACATATGCTGCTGCACAGACAGATGAAGCAGTACAGTTAAGTCAATCCAGACTGGGAGTGGGAAGCAGAGACAGAAAGGAAGGAGGAGGCAGGCGAGGACTGGAGGGAGGTCTTTTCATCTGTGTTGCCTTGGTAAATACTCCCATGTGCAATGAGAGATCCCATTGTGTAGAAGGTCTCTGAAATAAAGTGGCCTGCAGGGTCAAGGATAAACTGTCCCTGAAAATATATGTTAACAACCCCAAAACAGCTACGAAGACACAAAAGGATGAAAAGTGCCAAAGCTGAAGGAACACATTTAGTTGGTCTGATTTTCTTTCCATCAACCATTTAACAGATATTTTATCATTTGCAA